ATAAACCTTTAAAACCAGACTCATCACAAAAAAGAGGGAGAGGACTCAAATCAATAAAATGAGAAATGAAAAGGGAGAAGTTACAACGGACACTGCAGAAATACAAAGCATCCTAAGAGACTACAGTAAGCAACTCTATGCCAATAAAATGGACAACCTGAAAGAAATGGACAAATTCTTAGAAAGGTATAACCTTCCAAGACTGAACCAGGAAGAAACAGAAAACATGAACAGACCAACCACAAGTAATGAAATTGAAACTGTGATTAAAAATCTTCCCACAAACAGAAGTCCAGGACCAGATGGCTTCACAGGTGAATACTATCAAACATTTAGAGAAAAGCTAACACCCATCCTTCTCAAACTCTTCCAAAAAATTGCAGAGGAAGGAACACTCCCAAACTCATTCTGTGAGTCCACCATCACCCTGATACCAAAACCAGAAAAAGACACTGCCAAAAAAGAAAATTGTAGACCATTATCACTGATGAATATAGTTGCAAAATTCCTCAACAAAATACTAGCAAACAGAATCAAGCAACACATTAAAAGGATCATACACTATGATCAAGTGGGATTTATCCCAGGGATGCAAGGATTCTTCAATATATTCAAATCAATCAATGTGATACACTGTATGAACAAACTGAAGAATAAAAACCATATGATCATCTCAATAGATGCAGAAAAAGCTTTGGACAAAATTCAACACCTATTTATGATAAAAACTCTCCAGAAAGTGGGCATAGAGGGAACCTACCTTAACATAACAAAGGTTATATATGACAAACAAAGGAAACTATAAACAAGATGAAAAGACAACCCTCAGAAAATATTTGCAAACAAATCAAGGACAAAGGATTAATCTCCAAAATATATAAACAGCTCATGCAGCTCAGTGTTAAAAAAAACAAACAACCCAATCAAACAATGGGCAGAAGACCTAAATAGATATTTCTCCAAAGAAGACATACAGATGGCCAAGATACACATGAAAAGCTGCTCAACATCACTAATTATTAGAGAAATGCAAATCAAAACTACGAGGTATCACCTCACACCGATTAGAATGGGCATCATCAGAAAATCTACAAACAATAAATCCTGGAGAGGGTGTGGAGAAAAGGGAACCCTCTTGCACTGTTGGTGGGAATGTAAATTGACACAGCCACTATGGAGAACAGTATGGAGGTTCCTTAAAAAACTAAAAATAGAATTACCAGACTTCCCTGGTGATGCAGTGGTTAAGAATCCGCCTGCCAATGCAGGGGACACATAACCACAACTACTGAGCCTGCGCTGTAGAGCCCACGAGCCACAACTACTGAGCCCATGTGCCACAACTACTGAAGCCCGTGTACCTAGAGCCCTTGCTCTGCAACAAGAGAAGCCACTGCAATGAGAAGCCCGTGCGCCACAACGAGGAGTAGCCCCCACTCACCACAACTAGAGAAAGCCCGTGTGCAGCAACGAAGACCCAATGGAGCCAAAAATAAATAAATAAATAAATAATTTAAAAAAGTAAATAAATAAGATAAAAATAGAATTACCATATGACCCAGCAATCCCACTACTGGGCATATACCCAGAGAAAGCCATAATTCAAAAAGACACATGCACCCTGATGTTCGTTGCAGCACTATTTACAATAGCTAGGTCATGGAAGCAACCTAAATGCCCATCAACAGATGAATGGATAAAGAAGATGTGGTACATATATACAATGGAATATTACTCAGTCATAAAAAGAACAAAATTAGGTCATTTGCAGAGACGTGGATGGACCTAGAGACTGTTATACAGAGTGACGTAATTCAGAAAGAGAAAAAGAAATATCGTATATTAACACATATATGTGGAGTCTAGAAAAATGGTACAGACGAACCGTTTTGCAGGGCAGAAGTTGAGACACAGATGTAGAGAACAAACATATGGACACCAAGGGGGGAAAGCCACGGGGGGGGGGGGGGGGTGAACCGGGGGATTGGGGATGACATGTATACAATAATATTTATAAAATAGACAACTAATAAGAACCTGCTGTATAAATAAATAAATAAAATTCAAAAAAATTTAAAGAAAGAAAAACTGCTCAGATTCCGAGTTCTGCACAGCCCCTGACACTGTCCCAATGCACTGTTGTGAAACTACACACAGACATCTCACAAAAACTTCCTAAATCCAAGGAGCTAAGAAAAACACCCCTGGCAGCCTTCCCTCACTTTATAATGAAACTGTTCTTTTAGCAAAAAATTCACAACCAAGAAAAATTCTGCTAAATAAGGTGGGTATTTATTTGGGAGACCGTCTTTGGTGATTTCCAAGACCTTGGAACTTAGCTTTCTCTTGTAACTGTTGTTTTCTACCCATTTTACAATCTTCTACATAAGTCTATAGTATGTGGGTGAATCAACTTTAAGCTATCAGAGGCAAAACCAATATGATGTCCATTATGAGTATGCAGATTCAAATATTTATTCAAACATTTGCTGATCCAGGAGGATTTCTTTGGGAAGCTTGGGGAGAATAGCTAATGGCATACTGAAGGCAGATGCCAGAAGCCATCGTAATGCAAGAGTCAACAGTTCAGAGTGATGAAGTTGGTGCCAGTCACCGAATTTGGCCATTTGTAACAAAGAAGGTACAAATTGTTTTATACTTATGATGCCTTGGTAGTATATTAAACGTTAAAGAGGAAGTTTATTTCCAGAAAGAAAGAAGCAGGGGAGCGGACACAATGTCTAATTTTTAGACCAAATGAGTAGAACTTCCATTCAGGATTTGGAAGCGCTCCATTATCCAACAGGCTGAAAGTAACTCAGGGGATTGTCATGGTATTAGAGACAGTCCAAGGTGCCAAAGTCAAAACAGGCCACTCTGGCCATAGGAAAGCCCCAAGTGGGAGTGTATGTAGGTCACTTACATGTTTTGAATTTAGACAGGCTGCGTTTATACAATCAGTTTACAACTAAGCGCCGGATAAGTTCTGAATGTTCTAAATTTTTTATAATGTGCTTTTTTCCCAACATATAAGAAAATTGCACCATCACCTTGAACGATGGCCTTAATGGTTCACCTTGGGGCCCTGAGTGTTTGGTAGGGCGCTGGCGGGGAACTCTGCCTCTGCTGACAGGCCTCTTCCCACCCCAGTGAATTTCACTCTGCTTGAGAAGTGTTTGGAGCTAAGAGTGACTGAGGCTCAGGACTAAATTAGTCACGCTCAGTAAACTTTATATTGATGCAATGAAAAAGAATGAACAAAAATAGAAAGTGTATCAGCCATCAGGTTTGATCCCACACATATTTACTGAACATCTACTTGGGTGGGAAGAAGGACAAGTACGTAGAGAGGAAGACAAGGGAACACACGTGCCCGTTTTGCCCGATGCTGTCCTGGTGCCCTTTCTTTCCCTGGAGCACATGGACGTTATTTCCCCTCGCTCCAGGTCTCCTCTCTAAAAGACTCCCCTCTTTCTTGTTCTCTGCAGACACCCCCAACTTCCCCCATGTAAATGCACATAACAGGAGGACAAATTGTTTCCTGGGGAAACTTGTGCTGATCAGAAGCTTGGGTCTATAAGGGAGGAACCAAATTAGCCACATCTCAAATTCTGCTTTTGTTTTACCAGCTGCCGCTTCTAAGTTCTTATTTAATGAAAGTATTTGCTTTTCCATAAACATATGTAAATTTCCTACCTCTTGCTTGTCACAGCCAAAGAAAGCTCAGTAAGTGGTAATCAAGGAAGAAAGCATATTTCAAAAAAATCACTGTAATTGAGAATATCAGTGTAAACAACGCCATCTTCACAATTGATGAATTTGCCAATTGTTCTGCCGTCTTGTAGATTTAAGGGTGTCACTTAAATTTATTTTCATTAACAATTCATTAATTAAGAAAGTTATATATATGGTAAGAAAAAGAAAGTGTGTAGTTATAAGATAATCACAGCAACCCAAGGGATTCACTCCCTTATTTCAAACTCTCCAGTGCCTTCTTTCTTTTTTTTTTTTTCTTAATTTATTTGATCGCACTGGGTCTTAGTTGCAGCTCACCAGCTCCTCAGTTGCAGCACGTGGACTCCTTAGTTTTCATTCGCGGGCTCCTTAGTTGCGGCATGCAGCCTCCTGAGTTGTGGCATGTGAACTCTTAGTTGGGGCATGCATCTGGGATCTAGTTCCCTGACCAGGGATCGAACCCTGGCCCCCTGCATTGGGAGCGTGGAGTATTAACCACTGCGCCGGCGGGGAGCTCCCTCCAGTGGTTTCTCGTGACCCCTAGAATGAAATGCGAGAGCCATACCTGGTGTGACAGGCCCTTCAGGATCTGGCCCCTTTTTCTTCTTCACCTCCTCCCCAACCTCTCCCCTTCATGTCCCTTACATTGCTCCAACAATCCACTTTTGTTCCCACCTCAGGGGCTTCGCCCTGCCGTCCTTCTGCCTGGCACATCCTTCCCCCCTTTCTCGTCACTCAGCTCTCAGCACGCGTGTCCCTCTGCAGAGGTGGCCTCCCTGCCTGTCCTGTCCCATGCTCCCCCACTCCATTCACTCACATCGCCGTGTCTTATTGCTGTGGCCTGATCCGTCTCTGAAATGGCTTTATTGCCTCCTGGTTTATTTTCTGTCTCCCCTCTAGAATATAAACTCCAGGAGGGCAGGGGTCTTGGCCATCTTACTTACATTTCTATGCTCAGCACTTAGACAAGTGCCTGGCACACAGTAGGCTCTCAGTAAATATTGGTGTGATTGGATGAAGGGCGGTAGCAAGGATGGAATGATTAGAATTGTGTCTGGCACAGAGTTGGGACCAGCAAGTGGAAGTTTCCTTCCTCTCGCTCCGCATCCCCCTAACAAAATATATATAAAGGAAAACAATCTAATCTACACTGTTATGTCTTGAATATATTAAAGATATTCAGTTACACTGAGTATAGTAAATCATATCTAGCTGAGTATTCATTAAATGTAGAATGTAAATATTTTCTCGATTTCATTTTTCAGGTTGTCCTTGCCAGAAGGAACCATGAATTGGCATTTTCCTTTTTTCCTCGTGGCCACCGTGACATTGCCCTCTGTGTGCTCCCAGTTCAACCCCCTGTCTCTGGAGGAACTAGGCTCGGACACAGGAATCCAGGTGTTCAATCAGATTGTCAAGTCCCGGCCTCATGACAACATCGTCATTTCCCCCCACGGGATTGCGTCCGTCCTGGGGATGCTTCAGCTGGGAGCCGACGGCAGGACCAAGAAGCAGCTCACCACAGTGATGAGATACGGCGTGAATGGTGCGTGCGCCTGGGCCTGGCTGGCGGGACTTGCAGGAGTCCCAGTCTGGAGGGCCCCTGGCTTGGTCTTTGCTTACCACACAGAGGAGCAGAGCAGCTGGGAGGGGTCTTGCTGGTGCCCCCTGGGCTTGAGGGCCAGTCTCCTCTAAGGCACAGTGGCAATGCTAGGAGTTAGGAGAGCTGGGTTCTGGTCTCCGTTCGGTAGCTGTGGGGCTTTGGGCAGTCACTTGACCCCTTGAATGCCCCTGTTTTCTCATCTCTAACAAGAAAACTTCCCGTCTGCCCCCCCTCTATGTTGTACAGGGCTCAGAATGCATCATGGCTGTGAACGTACTTTTAAATCCGTAATCTGGGGAGGTGGGTGGGTGTGACCATGGAGGGCAGCCCAGGGCAGCCTTATGCTGATGGAACCGCTCTGCGTCTCAGTTGAGGTGGCAGACACACGAATCTCCATGGGGGGTAAAATTGCATAGAGCCATACACACACGCACGCACACGCACACACATACGTATGTAAAACAAGTGAATGAGCTCTGGGGACTGCACCAGTGGCAGTTTTCTCGTTGTGGATCTGTACTACCATCATGCAGGAAACTGGGTGAAAAGTGGAAATATACGGGACCACCTTGTATATTGTTTTGCAACTTCCCGTGATTCTATCATTATTTCAAAATAAAAAGCTATAAAGGAAGTTTGTTTAAAAGTAAGGCCCAGGGCTTCCCTGGTGGCTCAGTGGTTAAGAATCCTCCTGCCAATGCAGGGGACACGGGTTCGAGCCCTGGTCCAGGAAGATCTCACATGCCGCGGAGCAACTAAGCCCGTGAGCCACAACTACTGAGCCCGTGTGCCACAAGTACTGAGCCTGCGCTCTAGAGCCCACGAGCCACAACTACTGGAGCCCACGCTCCGCAACAAGAGAAGCCCCCACTCACCACAACTAGAGAAAGCCCGCGCGCAGCAAGGAAGCCCCGACACAGCCAAAAATAATAAATAAATTAATTAATTAATTAAATAAATTAAAAAAGAAAAGTAAGGTCCAATAGGAATGGTTTCGTTTTCTTGAAAGAAAGCCCCATTGTAATTACCTGTTTAAGCTTAAGAGCTTACATCTCCTAGTTCTGTCACTCAGCTTTAGCTCAGGTTTCTCACCCGAGTCCCCTTCCACTGCCCCCTCCACAGTGCTGGGCATGGGCCAGCGCCAGCCTTGGAGCCCTTCCTTGGCACCAGCCTGTGCCGTGACCTTGACAAGTCACATCTGACGTCCAGGTTTTAGTTGCTTTATTGGGAAGCGAGGACGTTTTCCCACCCACGTTCCTCCATTCCCACTGGCCATAAAGTTCTAGGAATCTTGACCACGTTGACGCCTTTGCTGGGAAAGGAGGAGAGATGGGGGTGTGCGTACTTCAGGGCTCCCCTCTGCGCCCCAGTTCGATCCTTCTCAGTGTAGCCCCCGGGGGCTGCCAGCACGAGATGCCCGCCCGCCCCGCTCTGTTTACAGGGCATTAAACTTTTGCATGAGTTTGCAGTTTGTTTACCTGTTGGAAGCACTGGGACACTAAATATTTGGAACACACCGTTATGCCCTTGCTTGGAAGCCCACAGAACTCCTGGTGATTTATAACTTCATAGTGAATCACCTACGGGGCTCCTGGCCTCTCCCAGCGCCATCCAGGCCGTGTCGGCCAGCACCATTCCCAAAGAGCAACTGGATTGTCGTTGTTTGTCTTCCCGCTGAACCACATTCATTTTCACTAGTGTTTCTAAAGTTTTGACAATATTGATCTGTTGGCAACTCCCCCCAACCCCCATCTCTTCTTCCTCCCAAATCACTAGCAGTCGAGTTGTGGAATGACTTCAGTTCACATGAAGGGAGATCATGTGAACTCCCACACATTGGGGGAGCCCGGGTGGGTTTTCAGGCCCCGGTTTGGGCTCAGACTCTGAGAACTTAAGACAGCGGCACTCTGGTTGAGGGCGGAGGCAGGACAGTCTGGGGCACAGGAGGATCTGCCCTGATCTTTTCTGGGCAGGAGACTGGGGAGCGTGGAGGAGCTGAAAGGGACAAGTGCCGGGATTGGGCTGTGAAGTCTGCTGGTCCCTTCGTTGTACAACGTGCCTGCCCACTCCTGCTGGGCCTGCCCCCACAGAACCCGTGAGGGGTGCAGTCTCCAGAGGCCTCACAAAGGGCCAAACCGTGGGGCTCTTACCTGCCATCATTTAAGAAGGACAGGTCAGCTCTCCAGGGGACCGTCAAGGTGACTCTGCCGGTTGTTTTAGGACAGTGTCATTTTGAAAGGACCCCAAGCGAGTAAGACAGATCTGTAATTCGAGCTCTCTGTAGGAACACATTTCATCCTTTACAACTTATTTCCCTCTTTTCCATGCTCTGAAACTAAATGGAGCATGTATGAATGGTCTGTGTAAAATAAAGCTTACGTTGCCATAAAACGAATTCCCTTACATTGTGAGCTTCGTATCAAATAAAAATCACCTTGTTCTTGGATGGTGGCACATGGCCATTTTTTATAGTCTTTCTGATGCTCAACTTTATACCTTTTTTTCCCCAAAATAGAGAAAAATCGTGTTGTTAAATCTTTGGCAAGAAAGGAAATAGCGCTTAAGATTGTTAAGAAAGAGAGACGGCATTAGGAAGAGTCCTTTGGTTTATTCTCCCATGGCTACATAACTGAAGAGCTTTCCAGTCTCGCTATTGACCTGGCGCCAGGAAAGTCTTCCAGGAGAGCCAGGTCTACTTGGGGAAGCTGTGGAGAAGGCCTCGAAGATGCCTGCTTTGAGGCTAGAAGCGCAATTGATCTTTAGGGGCTATTAATAGTTATACTTCATTCTACACCCTCCCTTTTCTTAACAGAAGGCCACTGAGAAAGCAGATGACTTAGTCTCTTGCTACGCGTACTAGTTTTGTTTCTACTGTTCTTATTTGCCATAATATAGAAGATATTAAAAAAAATAATAACCTTCCTACATTCTTGCGGAAATATTGCTGCATTTTCTCCTTTCTCCTTCAGGAGTGGGTAAAGTATTAAAGAAGATCAACAAAGCCATCGTCTCCAAGAAGAATAAAGATATTGTGACGGTGGCCAATGCCGTGTTTGTGAAGAATGGCTTTAAGATGGAAGTGCCTTTCGTCACGAGGAACAAAGACGTGTTTCAGTGTGAAGTCCGGAACGCGAACTTCGAAGACCCCGCCTCTGCCTGTGACTCCATCAACGTGTGGGTTAGGAACGAGACCAGGGGTGAGTGGCCACGGCTCCCGGGAATGAGCGGGTGTGATTTTCCACTTTGTGAATGAAAGCGTGAGTTGGGCTCTGAGACCGTCACTGGGGCCTGCGTGTCCGGTGGCCCTTCTGTTGTGAAAGGCCTGGACCCACTGACTGCTCCGCCCTTTCTCTCTCAGAGCCCCGCGGCTCAGTCCGCCTTCCTACCCTTTTCCTGCCGCCATCACCTGTGCCCCCTGGGGACTTGTCTCCCCGTGGCTCTCGGGCAGCAGGGCGGAATACCGCTCTGCAGACTCTCTTCTTTCTTCGCAGCATCTCATCTCCAGAGCCCCTGCCCACAGGCCCTTGTCTGTTTCGAAGGTTTTAGTGCTCATTCCTTCCTACTTCTGTATCCACATTCCCTTTGCCCAGAATGTGCTTCTCAGCCTTTAAGATTCGGGATTGAGCTCTCCCCACACCTTCCTTGTCTCTTTCTTTTTACATTGACGTATAATTGATGTACAATATTATATAAGGTACAGGTGTACAATGCAGTGATTCACAATTTTTAAAGGTTATACTCTATTTATAGTTATTATAGAATGCTGGCTATATTCCCTGTGTTGTACAGTACATTCTTGTAGCTTGTTTTATACCTAATCGTTTGTTCCTCTGAACCCCCTGCCCTTGTGATGCCCCTCCCCCTTCCCTCTCCCCTCCCCTTCCTCACCTCTTGCTTCTGTCCTCCCAGGAAGTAGGTGGCTCCCCCGGTTATGATGGGCATATGCTTATCCACGACTGCACCCTTTTTTAGAGCACATCCACACTATGTGATTACTTGTGTACGTGCATCTCTCCCTCCACGAAACTGAAGAAATGTCTAACATCAGTGTTTTTAGCCTGTTACGTTGTAAACTTCAGGTTCAGGTGGAAACATTCAGAGGGAGAAGTAGGTCCAGAACATCAGAGGAAAGTTAAGGCTAGAAATAGAGATTTGGGAACCGTTTTTCACCGAAGGGGAGAGTTAAAGTCACAAGAGTGGAAGCAAAAGAGACTCAATGAGGAGAGTAAGCCCAAAGACAAAACTTGGGGGAACTCTGGCCTTTCGGGTCATGTCTCTCAAAGAGTGGTTCCTGGGGCGCGTGTTTAGAATGCAAATCTCTGGGGAATTCCTTGGTGGTCCAGTGGTTATGTCTAGGCACTTTCACTGCTGAGGGCCCACGTTCAATCCCTGGTCAGAGAACTAAGATCCCAAGAAAAAAAAAAAAAAGGAATGCAGATCTCTGGACCCCAATCTACTGAGGCAGAATCTCTGAGGCAGGGACCTAGTATTCTGCACTAAAGTAAGTCCTCCCCCGGTCTCCGTCCAGACTTGTAGATGTGAATATTTGCAAACCATGTGAGGGGCTAGAGAAGAGCCGGATGGGGAATGCTCTGGAGGGTGGAGGAGAGCCAGCGTGTGGTTTTGGTAAACCTGTGAAATCCCTTTTCAACAGGATCCTGCACGGTGCAACCTGGGCTCCCTTCCTGAAACCACAAAATGATCAGGCGGACTGAGCCGTGGGGCTCTGAGAGAGAAAGGGCGGAGCAGTCAGTGGGTCCAGGCCTTTCACAACAGAAATGCAGGAGACCAGCAAATGGGAGGGGGTTAGTGGGCTCTTCTGAGCCTGTAGGGCTAAGAACAGAGGTAGGAAGCTGATGGCCCTCAGATGCTGGTAGCTGTATGATGTGACGTGTCAGCGCCCACCCAGCCTTCTTCTTTGCTGTGTCCTGGGAGTGGTAAGTCCCTCAGGATGCCGCCCGACCATTTCAAACCACTTGAACACACACTGACTCAATGCATTTCTCACAGCAACCGGGGAAGGGAAAGCGATGAGGCTAGAAAAGTGATTTTCAACCCTGCAGACCTAACTCCCTCTGTTAAACAAAGATTTTCACTCTGTTTACTCTCTTGAAATGAAACTCGTAGCTCATATAACCTATGCACATGTACACACACACACAAAAAAAATTAATATAATGCCAAACTGTAATACCAGGAAAAACAAAAGTTATTTATAGATGTAGTTCAGTAGGTAAACCCTTGGGTACAGCCACCCCTGAATACGTAACAGTCAGATTCTTAGAATAAGAATTGACATTCACATTGACTGTGAATTGACAGCCACAAAAGCAGACCGAGACAGGCACACTGCACTGGCGACACAAAAACCACGGGCTGTGTTACCATCGTTGAGGCAGTTTTTTTCTAAAATGCTGCAAAACTCCTGGTAAATTTCCGAGCAAAACAAGTAACAGACTCTACTTGGTTTGCGTGGTAGTCACATTCCTGACAAATTCAGCATACATTAAAAGTATGCAAAAGAAAAGATACTTTGTGTTTACACCGGAAAAAGAATAAGGTTCTGGGCTCAGATGACAAGGAGCAGGTTTCTCAAGAACGTGACTGTGCAGCGGGGCATTTGAAAGCAGGATAGTTCGTTGTTTGGGCTGTTTTGAACACTGCAGGATGTGTAGCATCTCTGGCCACTGTCTTTGCAACCAGAAACACTCCCACAGATTTCCAAACTGCCCGCTCAGAGGCGCTTGTGTATATGTGAGGTGTCAGAAGGATCCTGGTGATCAAACTGTCCACGTGTGGAAGACTGCTGCATGATGACAGATCCTGCCCCGCAGAGAGTGGGGGAGCCTTTCCAGTGTGCTAGAGATGTAGTGATGGCCTGGCTGGGGCTGCCCTGCCACCTCTCTGCAGCCTCAGCCCCAACCATGCGGGCTTCCTCCGAACTCTCATACTCACCATCCTCTCTCCAATCACAGAACCCCCCCCCCCCCCCCCCCCCCCCCCCCCCCCGCCCCCCCCCCCCTGTCATCCTTTCCCCCCCCCCTCCCCGACTGCTGTTTGTTGTCACCTCCTGTTCCGTATAGAGTGGGGGAGCCTTTCCAGTGTGCTAGAGAGTTAGTGATGGCCTGGCTGGGGCTGCCCTGCCACCTCTCTGCAGCCTCAGCCCCAACCATGCGGGCTTCCTCCGAACTCTCATACTCACCATCCTCTCTCCAATCACAGAACCCGCCCCCCGCCCCCCTCCCCCACCCCGGTGCATCCTGCTACTTGGAATGCTTTCCTTCCCCGTTGCCCTTTGCCTATTCATTTCACACTATGTCATGAATGGAATAATAGTTACAAGCATGAGTGCCCAGTTTGAACCTCAGTTCTGCCACCTGCTGGCTGTGTACCATTAGGCAGGTTACTTAACCTCCCTGTGCCTCAGCATTCTCCTCTGTAAAATGGAGATATAGTAGTGGTACCTACTAGAATTGTTATAATAACATTAAGGTTGTTATGGGACTATAAATAATAAGCATAAGTCATTTAGCAAGGTGGTTGGCACTTTGCAAATGTTCAACGAATGTGAGCTATTTTTATAGCCGTTGGCTCAAGTAATACTTCCTCAAGGAATCCATCCATCCCTGACCTCATCCACCAGATCAGATCCCCCTCTTATTTGCCCTCACATCCTTAAGTACTTTCACTTGAAGATATTTATTACAATTGCATTTCTAAGTCACTTATATCAGCCTCCACTTCCCTCTAATCTATAGCTTTTGGAAGGGCGGGTTTTATTTTTATTTTGTTTTGTTTTCTCAGGTAGACATCAAAGACTGGATACATGGATGGATGGATGGGTGGATGGGTGATGGATGCATGTTTATGGCAGTTATGGATGGCAGGTCCCCCATGTGCCTCCTTGCCTCTAAACCATGCATTTCTTACACTTCTCTTTTATCCTTTCTTTTTATTTCCTTGTGCCCCCTTATTATATCTTAGTTCTACCAGTGGCAATAAGAGGCTTTATTTACCTTAGGAAAAAAGGGCAGAAGAGATTCCTTCAGACTCTCGGTGTGCAACAACAGAATAGTGAACATAGAATCTTAGGTGTGATTTTTAAAAAATGAATGACAGGGTTCTTGCTCTTGTGCAGCTCACAGTTTAGTTGAGGGAGACAGATGCTACATTTGGCTAGAATAAAATACCGCAGTGTAACGGTGGTGCCGAGCATTGGGCTTTATGGAAACTCCAGGAGATAGGGAGGAGTGACAGAGAAGAGATATAAGAAGAGGGGACCACTGAGCTATGTCTCAAAGGCAAGTAGGAATTGGACTGGGTAATGGTCCCAGCAAAGGCAAAACACAGCCTTCGCTATTGGGAAACCAACTCTCAAGAGCTTGCTGTCACTGGAGCACAGAGTTCTCACTTCCTTCCCGCAGGACAGAGTCTGTGCACAGATGCCGCTTTGCTTTGAGCGATGGCTATTTATATCGCATGTATTTTCCTTCCAGATCCTGATGTAAGGTGGCGTTGGTGCCCCCTTGTGTAAGTAATGAGCAATGATGACACTGACTTGCCAGGCGCCCTGTGGGTCAGGGAATCCTCCAAGTGTGCTTCTTTACCATGACTGACGTAAACATCTGTTTATTGTACCTCCAAATCTTCTTGAGTTTCATTTCAAAGAACTTAAAGCTCTCTCTGCTGAATCAGATATTCTTGCTTCTTCAGAAGCTGTTGGTTTTATTCTCACCATTTAATGTATTGTAACTTGCATTTACATTATGAACATTTTTTAAAAGTTGGACTAAAAGCTACACTGAACTAATTTTTAATAGCTTTAGTGTTAGTGATCTCTCTTAAACCCGTACACACACACACACACACACACACACAGTTGAATCTTCAGAAACCAAGCAAAAGGAACCTAAATGAAAATTCAAAGCTTCAAGCACAGGTGGCACTTTAGAAGGACCTTTGTGACTTCACAAGAACAGCCTGAAATTGCAACTGTTGTGTGTGCTTCATTCCTGCACAAACAAGCTGAACCATCCTGATATCTTGTGAAGAGCATCTTCCTTAACAATTAATTATTCTAGGAGAGACCCCGTTTCTTTTTATCTCCATAATATGAGCGTAAATGGACCCCTGACCCATAAATATAGATACCGATTTTAGTCTCAACTCTTCTTTAAGTAGCTATATAATAATCAGGGATTCCAAACTAATGCTCAACATTCCTAAAATCTTAAGAGAAATTAAGCATTTGCCTTTGATAACATTACACAGGCTGAAGTGTTCCTTTAACTGGGATTAAATCATCCCAGTGGTTACAACAAAGCAACACGACAACTGTTTATCTTGTGCCGACCAAAAGCCCTCACTGGCAGTCATACGTGTCAGTTATTATCAAAAACAGAGAAGTTAATTATGAATTAAGTATAGCTTATGCAGAGGAGCAAAATGTTCTTAAAATATGGGGTTTATGGGGAATTAGTTATAAAAGAATTTTTTTTTTTTTTTTTTTTTTTGTGGTACGCGGGCCTCTCACTGCTGTGGCCTCTCACTGCTGTGGCCTCTCCCGTTGCGGAGCACAGGCTCCGGACGCGCAGGCTCAGTGGCCATGGCTCACGGGCGCAGCCGCTCCGCGGCACGTGGGATCTTCCCGGACCGGGGCAAGAATCCGTGTTCCCTGAATCGGCAGGCAGACTCTCAACCACTGCGCCACCAGGGAAGCCCCTATAAAAGAATTTCTGGATGAAAAGTTTGTTAACCCTAAATAGAGGGTCTCTGAAGTCTTTTCTGGTTCTCTGATTTTTAGCTTGTTTTCAGCTTTTAATTTTTAGTGAGGAAAAAAATTAGAAGGGACAACAGGATATTGTAAAAGTTCTTTTATAAATCTTTGAAATTTTAAAAATCTTTGAATTTTTAAATGTTACAAATCTTTGAATCTTAAAATTTCTCAGGTTTTTCATTCCCCCCGATCCTGCAGCTGCCTTTTGCCCCCAGACGGACTGCCCGTCCTGAGTGTCCTCTGTGTCTGTTCTCTGACTGCACAGGTATGATCGACAATCTGCTGTCCCCGGATCTTCTCGACGGTGTCCTCACCAGACTGGTCCTGGTCAATGCAGTGTATTTTAAGGGCTTATGGAAATCACGCTTTCAGCCTGAGAACACAAAGAAGCGCACGTTTGTGCCAGCTGATGGGAAATCCTACCAAGTGCCGATGCTGGCCCAGCTCTCCGTGTTCCGGTGTGGTAAGTTCACACTCAGTGAGGCTCTGTCCTAGAATGTGCCAGCCGCAGAAAGGCCCTCGGGTGCTGCCACTTAGCTCAAGAGCAGATCTGCCTTTTTATTTTTTATAAAGGGCAGGGAGGAGACGGCAGGATTTTTTAAAAGCTCATGGTAAGTCTTTGCATTATTTACAAAGGTTATGTATTAATGTATAACACATGTAACGCTTTTAGGTTGAAATTTAAAGATGACAGGACAATTCACAAAATGAGAAGTATAAATGGACATGAAACATATTGCATGCATTATCAAGTCATCATTAGCAATCTTACGTTACCAAATCAAAAATAAAAGTAAAAATTAGATTTCTTTTTCACTGATCAGATTAGCAAAAATTATGAAGATTGACAAAGCCCAGTCGTGGCTCTGGTGTGGGGGCCACGTGGGCACCCTTGGGTGCTGTTGGTGGTGGGGAACCGTGGTCTGGAGGACTTTCTAGAAGCCCCGCCTCAGCAGTCTCACGCCAAGGAATTTATAATATGAAGATAATCATACACTAGCAAATAAATAGAAGCCATATATGTGCATGTAGTGGAACACACATGATAATTAGATTTATATAAGCAGAAAGTTATATAATATGTGGTTGATTTCAGAAAACAAGTTGCAGAACAGCAGATGCTGTTTCATCTCATTTATGTAAAATACTTTCTATATATTCATGCAGACACGTCTTGGAGGACGTTCAATAAAATGTTAGATGGTAGTATTTCAAAGGATTATTTTTCTTTGAGTTTGAAATTTTTTTTAAGGAACATGTGTCAGTTTTACAGTTGGGGGAAAAAGAAAATGACCCATCTCTGTAGTCATTACCACACATAGGTAACTAAGGCTGGTGACTGTTTTTTAAACCTACTTTCATTGAAGTATCAGTGGTCCAGTTTAAGTTAAACTTCTTTTTCCTCTATAAGTTAGCCTTTATGTCTCCAATCTATATGTGGACATGTGGGTCCCAAGTATTCCCTTTGCATATACAGTATATGTTAGATCAAGCATTGCTCAACATTTCTCCAGCTGCCTAATTCTTTAAATTAAGAAATGACTCATGCTAGGGACACAGTAAAGTCACTTTCCTTCCCCCATGTCTTTCATCTAACTTCCAGGTAGAATTTTGTCATTCGCTCAATAAATTTTTTCAAGATAATATGTATTTAAAAGCCCTGCAGAGGGACTTCCCTGACAGTCCAGTGGTTAAGACTCTGCACTCCCGATGCAGGGGGCCCTGGTTTGATCCCTGGTCAGGGAACTAGATCCCGCATGCTGCAACTAAGACCCAGCACAGCCAAATAAATAAATAAATATTAAAAAAAAGAAAAAAAGAAAAAAGTCCTGTAGAAAGGTAGCATGCTAAACAACTGAGACCAACGAAAGGCTCTTTTTGTCCAGAACTCATTCTCAGGTTACGTTGCCCAGGAAGACGTCATGGAATGCTATCATGGCCACCAGCTCCTATCCGAAGCACAGTTATTTTATTTTAGGTCAATCTTTGTACACATTCTAATAAAACAAAACGCGAGAAGGCCTCATTTACTGTATGTTTCTGTTGCTGAAAAATAATGAATAAGTCAGTAAAGAATAAATCAGCAAGGCTTCTATAGGCATTCCCATGAAAGATTAAAATGTTTGTATTTGTAGGAATGGAAGATGCTTTTCTTGAGTATATAGGATGTTCCCAGAGAGGGAGTTACATATCCAGGTGGCTTTTCAATTAAGAACTGATTTGTCTAAGAATTTGTGGTGTGCCTTATGGAAAGTAAGACACAAATACATTCTTATGGTCCAAGATTCAAACTCCACAGCTCCACAGTGTGGGAGATCTCGTCCCCCACCTTCCCTGATTCATGCCCTCCCTTCTCCACCCTCTTCTGAGCCCCCAGGAGACTGCATCAGTGGGCTCCCTTTTCCCCTGGCTTCCTGTTGGTTGGCTAGTGGTGTGAACCAGCAGGTGATGGGGTAAGGGAGGAGAGCGGGCTTGGACATTGGCTTCCCAGCCCTCTCCTTGCATCGCCAGGGCCGCAGCATCCCTCCACCCAAGGTCACCTGCCATCAGGACCTGCCCAAGGGCTCTTTCTCTCTGGGCCACCAGCCCTTACCCTTGGCCCTCCAAGGCTAAAGCTGGTAATGGTGCCCCACTGTTTGTAGCCCAGGGTACCATCCTTAATGGCTCCTCTGTACCCTATCCTTGCCTTATAAGTGGTCCCTTCATTAAACTCTGCTGAATTGACCCAGTTTGGTGTCCTGTCTGTTAGCTGTCAGACCTTGATTGATCTGTACTGAATTCAGAACAGAACATGAAAGTCCCCTTGCTCTCATTCCCTGCCAAGTAAACACTGCAGGTGGTCTGGGACCATCCTTCCTGCCCCCACTTTCTACGGTGTCATGGGTTTTTACTGAGTAACTTGGGATTGGAACCCAGCTCCTTCGTGGGCCAGGAGACAGAGTCCAGTGATGTCATCTGCCCCCAGGTTTCCCTCTTTGGCCAGCAGAGCAGTTTTTCATGGAAAGACGAGGCAGGTTTGTCTTGTGGAGAAAGCTCAGCCATCTGTGGTGGCCCCAAGGAGTCATTTGTTTTCATGAGCATAGACCACACAGCCAGTCACCCATTTTCGTCCTGTCTCATCGCAGTCTGGCCCACTCGACCAGCCAGGGATGGGAGGCAGGTGGTCCTGATAGCTGAGCCAGGCCAGGCTGCCTGAACTCACTCACTCAGCCTCTGGTGCCACCTGCCCAGCGCCTCGTGAGGCCTCAGCCAAGCCTCGCCACCTTTGGTCACTTTGCTGAAACATTGTCCTTCCATTTACTATTTTTCAGCCTTCCTGACTTTTCCTCCAAGATATCATCAAGGTCTCTGAGAGGATTTCCTTAATAACATTAAGGGAGAGGGTAGAAAATAGGAGGAGAAAACTCTTCTGACTTAAGCCCCATAAAGTGTAAGCACTTTGAGGGCAGAGACTTTTCCATTAAAAAAAAAAAAAGCCTTAAAAATTAGTAGAAATGTATTTCATATTCGTTGCAAAGTCCTCAAATACAACAGTATATAAGGCAGAAAGTAAATGTCACTCTATATTCCCATTTCCCAGCATAAAAAGCCCTATTAAGTGCTAGGCGTTTTGAGGCTTTTTCTATGCATATCATTTGAGGCTTTTTCTATGCATATGTAAAATTCGTCCAACTTTTTTGCATACATAGGGTTACACCATAATTTCTCTTCTGTAATCTGCTTATTCATTAGACAGGCTATCTTGGAAAACCTTTTATTGTCAATCCTCGTGGAACTACTTGATCCTTTATCAGCTACATTACACCCCATACTGTTATAAACGTATCATAATACCTTAGGGATGGCCATTTACTTTTTTCCTATAACAACACTACAGTGAGCATTCTTGTACATAAATCTTTAGATATTTGTGTCAGAACTTCTAAAGGTAATGTCCTTGGATAGGAATTGCTGAATCAAAGTTGTTACAAATTTTCTGTTTTTATGGTTATGGATTTAGATTTAAGAGACTTTTCTGCTTTGAAAAAGACCACAAAGAATTTCAAACATACATATGTATGTGTATATACATGTGTATCTATGAATATACAGTATGTTTCTAGCTTCTACTCTTCTCTGAGTTTCCAACTCATACCTACATATCCATATTATGTCTCTAATTAGTTGTCTATTAAGTTCTGGTTCCACAGATAAATATACTCTTGCCCTCGCCATCTAGTTCTCCCCGCAGTGTTCCTTCACCCAGCAAATGGCACCAACACTCACCCAGTTGCTTAAATCACTCCTCCTTCCCCATCAACTCTCCCCAAACTCCCTTTCCACTGAAGCCTGAATACAGACTACTATATACAGTGGGTCTACTTGTTGTGGTTCTTTTTTTCAAATGTATATTCCAATTTCTACTTAAGTATAGCCTGAACAGTTCCTTAAGACTCAGAAATCCACAAAACTGCTTGTAGTAGAAGGTAATTAAAGGGACTTTCATGCTGTCATGCCCCGGAGCAGTCATTTATTAACAACTTCCCACATTTCGCAGTTTCTTTTTTTTTTTTTTAATTAATTAATTTATTTTGGCTGCATTGGGTCTTCGTTGTGGTGCGCGGGCTTCTCATTGTGGTGGCTTCTCTCGTTGCGGAGCGCGGGCTCTAGAGCGCAGGTTCAGCGGTTGTGGCGCACGGGCTTAGCTCCTCCGTGGCATGGGGGATCTTCCCGGACCAGGGCTCGAACTTCTGTCCCCTGCATTGGCAGGTGGATTCTTAATTAATTTATTTATTTTTGCTGTGTTGGGTCTTGGTTTCTGTGCGAGGGCTTTCTCTAGTTGCAGCAAGCGGGGGCCCCTCTTCATCGCGGTGCGCGGGCCTCTCACTATCGCGGCCTCTCTTGTTGCGGAGCACAGGCTCCAGACGCGCAGGCTCAGTAGTTGTGGCTCACGGGCCTGGTTGCTCCGCGGCATGTGGGATCCTCCCAGACCAGGGCTCGAACCCATGTCCCCTGCATTAGCAGGCAGATTCTCAACCACTGCGCCACCAGGGAAGCCCGGCAGGTGGATTCTTAACCATTGCATCACCAAGGAAGTCCCTTATTTCGCAGTTTCTAAAAATGAGCTCTACCAGTGTAGGAACCTAATGTTTCCTTTGAGGATTAAAGGGCTTATTAGGAAGTGTGTTTTTTTCTCACTTTTCCAATCAATTTTTCAGTTCCTGCTGAGACCATTTTATCATGCAGGGTAATAGTAAAGGTGAAGACTCCCATCTTGGACCCTCAGGCAGCCCCAAGACGGGACCCGGGCAAGAAGGAGAGTCCACGTGTGTCCGGAGCTGGGGCCAGTCACCCTGGGTACCTGAGCAGCCCTGCAGGCGAGGGCGGCACATGGGGACCTGAGACACTGAGCACCCCCATGAATTGCCCGCGTATTTCTTCCTCAAGGAGAAGCTGTCATGTCATCCTGTAGTGTCATGTATTCTAAGAGCTTCACCATTCTTATCATATTTTACAGCTAAAACTGTTTGTTGCATAACGAAGACACAGTACGCTGTCTCTCTCTCTCTCTCTCCATCGGTGCCTCCATCCCAACCCCTGTCTGTGGACAACTGGCTTACTGAAGTTTCTTGTCTCAGTTGCAGTGATTAGCAAAGTCATCCCCAAAGAAAAGACAAGTGACAATCATGAGAGAAACTCACTTTCTCTTTTCTCTCGTTCTTAAATATGTTGTCCTTCTGGGTCATTCAGGGGAGGAGGGAGAGGGAGCCAGTGTTCACTGGGCACCCACCGTGGGCCAGGCCCTGCTGAGTACCTTATATGCATATGTCTTCTAATCTCATCATCACAACTGCAATATCCCTGGTCTCTCCATGCTCCAAACCCGGAGGCACACAGAGGTTAAGTAACCTCAGCAAGATCACCGAGGTCTTCTTCAAAAGTTGGAAGTGTTTCAGAAGACATTTCAGACATCCACCGTCATCTAGAAATGCTGGTTTTCCATTCACCCGGTTAATTCTTACAACTCTCCCATCGCATGTCTAATGTAAAGGTTCTGTGGGCTCCTCAGGCATGCTCTGTGGAAGGCTTTTTCTCCCGGGAGTTCATGGCCCCTCTGGGCCCCATGCTCATGCCCTGGGCTTCTCTCCAGCGCCTATCATGTCTGCACTTGCGTCCACTCGGACGGGTAGTGCTCAGCTGTGCTGCTCAGTTGCTAAATGTTTTGAACATTTTAAGTGGGGATAAAAGGGTTCTAAGATCAAATAAGTTTTGGAAACCTGAGAATAACTAGAGTTAAGCAGTTTTCTTCGGGATATCCCAGAGCCTTTCTAGCATTGGTGTATATTTTGAATCTGCAGGAAGAATCGAGTGTCTGGGCTTCCTCAACTTCCTGGGATGTGGAATCTGTTCTGTCTACCGGACGTCTTGCGGGGATGTGTGTTCTCTAGACGACATTCTGAGAGATGCTGGTTTAAATCCTTCTTGTGTCTTCATCAGTAAGCACAAGTACCATAAAGTATCAAAAAACCCTAATGGTAGTTACTGGAATGAATGAAGAGTGAGTAGGAAGTCAGGCAGTGAAGGAGGATCATCTTTGCCATTAGACGTACTGAGTCCTGGTCCACCTTTTAGCCATGTGTCCCTTGGTAAGTTACGTAATTTCTCGAATTGTAGCCTCCCCAGCTGTAAAATAGGACTGCGTATACCTACCTCGTGGGGCGCTGTAGAGGCTAATTGCGTTGGGGTGGTTGGTGTGGGCCTGGCACAGAGTGGACCCTAAACAGTGGAAGCTGTTTACCCCCACCCTTCCTCCCTCCTCTTCACATGCATTCAGAGACACCACCAAAAGAATCATTCTTAGGCAGCTCAGATTCATTCCTTCATCCATATGATAAGGGTCAACTTGCAAAGCACTGTGTGCTAAGTGCCGTGTGATCTAGTTAAATTCTACTCAACAGAATTAGTATGACTTTAGTGATGGCCAAAGGCATTCTGTTAAGACATGTCTAGACTAAAGAATTCTTTACCAGGGAAGGAAGAAATAACTGCCCTTATCTTTGACTTTGTAAGCAAGCTATTTTTATTTATTTTCTTTGAATTTTTGAATTTTATTTTATTTATTTTTTTATACAGCAGGTTCTTATTAGTCATCCATTTTATACACATCAGTGTATACATGTCAATCCCAATCGCCCAATTCATCACACCACACCCCTACCCCGCACTGCATTCCCCCCTTGGTGTGCATACCTTTGTTCTCTACATCTGTGTCTCTCTTTCTGCCCTGCAAACCAGTTCACCTGTACCATTTTTCTAGGTTCCACATATATGCGTTAATATACGATATTTGTTTTTCTCTTTCTGACTTACTTCACTCTGTATGACAGTCTCTAGATTCATCCATGTCTCTACAAATGACCCAGTTTCGTTCCTCTTTATGGCTGAGTAATATTCCATTGTATATATGTACCACATCTTCTTTATCCATTCGTCTGTCGATGGGCATTTAGGTTGCTTCCATGACCTGGCTATTGTAAATAGTGCTGCAATGAACATTGGGGTGCATGTGTCTTTTTGAATTATGGTTTTCCCTGGGTATCTGCCCAGTAGTGGGATTGCTGGGTCATGTGGTAGTTCTATTTTTATTTTTTTAAGGAACCTCCATACTGTTCTCCAAAGTGGCTGTATCAATTTACATTCCCACCAACAGTGCAAGAGGGTTCCTTTTCTCCACACCCTCTCCAGCATTTGTTGTTTGTAGATTTTCTGATGATGCCCATTCTAACTGGTGTGACGTGATACCTCATTGTAGTTTTGATTTGCATTTCTCTAATAATTAGTGATGTTGAGCAGATTTTCATGTGCTGCTTAGCCATCTGTATGTCTTCTTTGGAGAAATGTCTATTTAGGTCTTCTGCCCATTTTTGGATCCAGTTGTTTGTTTTATTTAATATGGAGCTGCATGAGCTGTTTATATATTTTGGAGATTAATCCTTTGTCCGTTGATTCGTTTGCAGATATTTTCTCCCATTCTGTGGGTTGTCTTTCTCATCTTGTTTGTAGTTTCCTTTGCTGTGCAAAAGCTTTTAAGTTTCATTAGGTCCCATCTGTTTATTTTTGTTTTCATTTCCATTACTCTAGGAGGTGGATCAAAAAAGATCTTGCTGTGATTTATGTCAAAGAGTGTTCTTCCTGTGTTTTCCTCTAAGAGTTTTATAGTGTCCGGTCTTACATTAGGTCTTTAATCCATTTTGAGTTTGTTTTTGTGTATGGTGCTAGGGAGTGTTCTAATTTCATTCTTTTACATGTAGCTGTCCATTTTTCCCACCACCACTTATTGAAGAGACTGTCTTTTCTCCATTGTATATCCTTGCCTCCTTTGTCATAGACTAGTTGACCATAGGTGTGTGAGTTTATCTCTGGGCTTTCTATCCTGTTCCATTGATCTATATTTCTGTTTTTGTGCCAGTACCATATTGTCTTGATTACTGTAGCTTTTTAGTATAGTCTGAAGTCAGGGAGTCTGATTCCTCCAGCTCCATTTTTTTCCCTCAAGATTGTCTTGGCTACTTGGGGTCTTTTGTGTCTCCATACAAATTTTAAGATTTTTTGTTCTAGTTCTGTAAAAAATGCCATTGGTAATTTGATAGAGATTGCATTGAATCTGTAGATTGCTTTGGGTAGCATTTTCACAGTATTGATTCTTCCACTCCAAGAACATGGTGTATCTCTCCATCTGTTTGTATCATCTTTAATTTCTTTCATCAGTGTCTTATAGTGTTCTGCATACAGGTCTTTTGTCTCCCTAGGTAGGTTTATTCCTAGGTATTTTATTCTTTTTGTTGCAATGCTAAATGGAAGTGTTTCCTTAATTTCTCTTTCTGATCTTTCATTGTTACTCTATAGGAATGCAAGAGATTTCTGTGCATTAATTTTGTATCCTGCAACTTTACCAGATTCATTGATTAGCTCTAGTAGTTTTCTGGTGGCATCTTTAGGATTCTCTATGTATAGTATCATACCATCTGCAAACAGTGACACTTTTACTTCTTCTTTTCCAATTTGTATTCCTTTTATTTCTTTTTCTTCTCTGATTGCCTTGGCTAGGACTTCCAAAACTATGTCAAATAATAGTGGTGAGAGTGGACATCCTTGTCTTGTTCCTGATCTTAGAGGAAATGCTTTCAGTTTTTCACCATTGAGAACAATGCTTGCTGTGAGCTTGTCGTATATGGCCTTTATTATGTTGAGGTAGGTTCATTCTATGCCCACTTTCTGGAGAGTTTTTATCATAAATGGGTGTTGAATTTTTTCAAAAGCTTTTTCTGCATCTATTGAGATTATCATATGGTTTTTATTCTTCAATTTGTTAATATGGTTTATCACATTGATTGATTTGTGTATATTGAAGAATCCTTGCATCCCTGGGATAAATCCCACTTGATCATGGTGTATGATCCTTTTAATGTGTTGTTGGATTCTGTTTGCTAGTATTTTGTTGAGGATATTTCAAGCAAGCTATTTTTAGAATAGGAAAGTTCTCAACCTGAATTGCTGTCTTCCCTCTGAAGCTACCCTGGTGATCAGCAACCGTTCATGCCCCTTCTGGAAGTCACCAAGGATGCACTGAACCTGCCTCTGATTTCTTTAGGGTCTACAAGCACCCCCAGTGACTTATGGTACAACTTTATCGAGCTGCCCTACCACGGGGAAAGCATCAGCATGCTGATCGCGCTGCCGACAGAGAGCTCCACCCCACTCTCAGCCATCATCCCGCACATCAGCACCAAGACCATAGACAGCTGGATGAGCACCATGGTGCCCAAGAGGGTGCAGGTCATCCTGCCCAAGTAAGTAGCCCCTTTCCCTAAAAGAGAAAACAACAGGACTACTCGATCCCTGGGAGTGATTGTGTCAGTTACTGGACAACTGAAGGCTGAAATAGACATATCATGAAACCTGCCTTATTTTGCAGAAATTGCATGGTGGGACTACAAGGCTGTGCTTTTGTGAAAGTTGGTTTTCAATCCCTGTGCCTCTTATATGGCAGGATAGTGATGATGGGGAAGGAAAGAAGGCAGCCTGGTCTCTAAGCCTCCACAAGACTACAGCTCTTGTGCCACGACAAAGGCTTTTAATATAGGTCACTGTTCAAAAGACTGAAAGGCAGATGCATATCATCATCTGATAGTATGCTGAAAATACAAGAAAGCTTAGTAGTGCTCCGTGTGGTTTTTTTGGGGTTTTTTTTGTTTTTGTTTTTGTTTTTTTCCGGTACGCGGGCCTCTCACTGTTGTGGCCTCTCCCGTTGCGGAGCACAGGCTCCGGACGTGCAGGCTCAGCGGCCATGGCTCACGGGCCCAGCCGCTCCGCGGCATGCGGGATCTTCCCGGACCGGGGCACGAACCCGCGTCCCCTGCATCGGCAGGCGGACTCTCAACCACTGCGCCACCAGGGAAGCCCCTCCGTGTGTTTTGATAAGGAGTTTCATCTTAGGTACTTAAGTTTTAGCTGCAAGTTGCTAAAGGCCAAGGTCCAAAAGATAGGTAATAAGGAAATATTTTGAAGCCACCCAGGCAGAGTTCTTACATTAGTATCTAGGGCAGTTTTTCTATTATACCCTAAAAGTATAATATAAATGAAACCTGAACTGTTAGGACTTGAAACCAAGGGGAAAGGAATCCCAAATTCTGTCTGATTCCTAAATTTCTAACAGGTCAGAGAATACTTTGCCCAGATCTGTGAGGCAGGCAGTGAATGTCCCCTTTTAATAAACTTTTCAGCATTACTGTTTTGTCAGTACCCAGGGCTTTAAACCACCCAGGCCTCAGTGGTGGTGGCAATACCTTCCAGTTCTAATAGCTTTTAATTCTCTAGCCACTGAGTTAAGTAATCAGAAGAGTACATTCATAATAAGTATTAGTAATTCTTATTAGTATTAGTAATTCTCCCAAGAGTATTTCTTTTCTTTTTAAAATTACTTAATTTATTTATTAATTTTTGGCTGTGTTGGGTCTTCATTTCTGTGCGAGGACTTTCTTTAGTTGCAGCAAGCAAGGGCCACTCTTCATCGCGGTGTGCGGGCCTCTCACTATCACGGCCTCTGTTGTTGCGGAGCACAGGCTCCAGACGCGCAGGCTCAGTAGTTGTGGCTCACAGGCCTAGTTGCTCCGTGGCATGTGGGATCCTCCCAGACCAGGGCTCGAACCCGTGTCCCCTGCATTAGCAGGCAGATTCTCAACCACTGCGCCACCAGGGAAGCCCGAGTATTTCTTTTTGTTGTAAAATAAGCCTTCACATAGGCAGTGCTTGCCATAAATGAAGAAGCTGGTGATGTAAATAAATTATAGTTATAATGGTAAATTACCATATAAATTACCATAATAGCCCATCTGTGATGAGAATCTGCTCACTTAGCCTTGCCGCTTTCCCACAGGATGTGATAAAATCTGGTAAAACGTCCTCTGATGATAGATTTAATAACTGACATTTACATATCTATAGCTATAACGCCAGATAGTCCACAAATGTCCAAGAAATCCATATCACACCCAAATGAATACCATTCCTAATGTTTGCCCCTGTTTGGTAAAATGTAATGGTAAAATGCTTCCAGAATCCCAACACGAACTAGCAGGAATGTATTTCCTCTCTTTTGACCATCCCCAATCCCAGTAAGTATGGTGGCTCTTACAGCAGCCAAGATCATGGCTCTGTGGTTGGGTATGGGGAAGAACAGTAGATATTCCAGAATACCAGACACTCATCAACACCCTGTTACCGAGTCCAAGCTTGTATTTCTCGCCACATGACAGACCAGTAAATCAAGAAATATCAAGGAATAGCAACTTTATTCAGAAAGCCAGCAGACTGAGAAGATGGTGGACTAGTGTCCCAAAGAACCATCTTGCCTGAGTTAGAATTCAGGCTTCTTTTATACTAAAAGAGGAGGGAGTAAAGTCAAACATTTCCTGGTTCCCATCAGCCTCCAGAGGGGATGTGTTCATTTCTTCCTTCCTGCAGTCGTTCACAGGTGGGCCTGGTCAAGATAGTTACTGTGAGCTAAACAGAAGTATTTTAGCTTAATGCTCATTACCTGGGAGGCAGGGTTCCCAGAGATGGGCTATTTATGTGTAATTTAAGCTTATAGGCAACATCCCTTTAATGATTAACTTGCAATAGCATACAAAGTTTCTTCCCTATTGCAACCCTGCATCTCCTCATCAGAATAAGAGAAAGTGCTTCTGTAGATCTTCCTAGGACTGGAATGGGGAGCCTGTTGCCCATGAGGGTGAGGACACCCCTACTTGCTGATACTGTGCTATTTTGCCAGGTATGTGTTTGAGAGATGAGTTGTTCTCTACTTACCTGGTACTTAAATCTTGGGATTAAAATTAAAGATATTAGGTGTTCAGAGTGTACTTTAAAGAGGATCTGTTTGTACACCTTTTTTCCACTGGCACTGATTACATCATTTTATATCATTTATAGTATATTGATTTTCTCCCTATTTTCTGCTTTCGTGCTAGGTTCACAGCTGTAGCACAGACAGATTTGAAGGAGCCGCTGAAGGTCCTTGGCATCACCGATATGTTTGATCCATCAAAGGCAAATTTTGCAAAAATAACAAGTATGTTCAATTTAAAACTTGCTCTGAAACTTGTGGAATATGTTACAAATTGAGCCTCTGATTTGTTCAGAAAGAAAAGGTCAAACTTAGGAACGTGCTGCCATAAAACTCTCCAAGGTTTAATCTGAAAAATCACCCAATGATGCTGTTGAACCTTCATCCCTTAAATCAGCATGTCATCCATCCCTGCATTTCACATGCACATTTCATGTGAAGCCCACACGATCCCACACATTTAAAGAAGCATTTCACGTGTTGCCTCTGTTACCTAAACATTTGGCTCTTAGTTAGATATGTCTCTTCCTTTTCCAAATGCAAACTTTTCCCCTGTATTTTCAAATTTTCAAAATCAAGATTTTTGAGCTCCCAAATGCTTACTTCCCCCAGACAATAGCAGGTACCACAATATTTAGATAGGTATTTTGGCATCTCATCACCCGTTAATCTGAACTAATATAAATTCAAAGGAGTCTGATTAGAGCTTTCCTTTGTCAAACCATCTAGGACACAGCTGGTATAATATCCCTTCATTTGCCAGTACATGTAATTTTTTCCTAGAGTCATATTTGAATGGTCGGTCCTTTGTCTTTCTAAGTTAGAGCATAGTCACCTCCTGCCAAAGGCATGGCTTAAACATGATTTGTGCTCCATGTTGTATCTTTCCCCTGAGTGATAAGGAAACAGTTCATTACCAACCCCACTTGCCTGCTAGTGAACACCTGAGTACCTGTCCTGGGGATTAAGGTGACTTCCCTGGTGAAACTGAAGTTCCGTGGATGTTCTGATACTCTCATCCCTTTTGAACCAAACTCTCTTCCCCCATCCAGTGGCATTAGCATCACCTTGTTTGAAATTCACAATTTTGGGTCTGACCCAGACCTACTGAATCAGCGTCTTCGCTTTAACAAGATTCCTCATCTCAATGAAGTTTGAGAAGCACTGTTTTGGATTTTTTTTTTATAACTTTATTTATTTATTTATGGCTGCATTCGGTCTTCACTGCTACGTGCGGGCTTTCTCTAGTTGTGGCAAATGGGGGCTACTCTTCCTTGCAGTGCACCGGCTTCTCATTGCAGTGGCTTCTCGTTGTGGAGCACAGGCTCGAGGCGCACGGGCTTCAGTAGTTGTGGCATTCGGGCTCAGTAGTTGTGGCTCACAGGCTCTAGAGTGCAGGTTCAGTAGTTGTGGCACATGGACTCAGTTGCTCCACGGCATGTGGGATCTTCCCAGACCAGGGCTCGAGCCCGTGTCCCCTGCATTGGCAGGCGTATTCGTCACCACTGCACCACCAGGGAAGCCCTGAGAAGCACTGTTTTAACCTGCCCTTTCCCCTTCAGGATTAGCTTTGTAGCTTAAATACTAGATATCAGTCTCAGGGCGTTCACAGGTGCTCAGAGGGAGGACCAGGTGCCAGAAATTCTCCTGAGAGGTTCTGTTTCACCGTGCAGGTGATGTGGTCTCTGCGAACGTGCCTCTCATTCATGATTGGTCACATTAGAGCTGAGCATTGACCATTGCAGATGACCCAAAAAGCACTTTCTCCATTTGCATCAGACCTGTGTCCCATCAAGGTCACCATTAACTTCTGTTTGCATTCTCCTCGAATGCTAACCCCAGTGGGCGTTGCTGGAATGGTAATATTTGCTGAGAAGGAAAGTGAATTCACTAGGAGGTCCCGGAAGCACGGCTGCATTTCTGAGCCTGGCCCTCCAGAGCGCCTAAACTCTGCTCCTACTCTTTTTTTTTTTTTTGCGGTACCCGGGCCTCTCACTGTTGTGGCCTCTCCCGTCGAGGAGCACAGGCTCCGGACGCGCAGGCTCAGCGGCCATGGCTCACGGGCCCAGCCACTCCGCGGCATGTGGGATCTTCCCAGACCGGGGCACGAACCCGTGTCCCCTGCATCGGCAGGCGGACCCTCAACCGCTGTGCCACCAGGGAAGCCCTCTGCTCCTCCTCTTCACTAATATGCCCGTAAGACGAGTGACTTTTGTTATGAAAAGACAGCACTTACCACACCACTAATTAGCCATGTGATTGGGGGCAGATTTCTTAACACTCTGGTCCTCGCTTTCCCCATCTGTAAGTGCCATATTTTTTCTGGATCTGACATTCTGTAATTGAAAAATAATATTGTTGGCTTGCTTCTTCTGGAAAACTAGGCTACCTTTTTAAAGCCCTGCTCTTTTCATTTTTTAATAAAATTCTTAGTGATCAGAGTTGAATTGGTAGAGTCACTAACACATTTGGGGTCCGGGACTCCCTCCTCTGAACTGATGATGTCACAGTTCACTTAGCAGAGACTGAAATTAACCGTGGGTGACCCTCACCCTACATGCAGCCTTCAATCACCAGGACTGTAAGAGGTCACTTCTTCTGACACCTTTTAAGAATTGGAGCTTGCCATGGCTTTGAGGTTACTTCCCCCACTAACCCGATGGCCTGCATATCAAATAAATGCCGTTTTTGTTTTATTTTCTGGAAACAGGGTCCGAAAACCTTCATGTTTCTCACATCTTGCAAAAAGCGAAAATTGAAGTCAGTGAAGATGGAACCAAAGCTTCAGCAGCAACAAGTAAGTAAGCCCTGGGTCAGCAAGTAAGTAAGCCTTGGCTCAGCAAGTAAGCCCTGGGTCAGCAAGTAAGTAAGCCCTGGGCAGGACTGGTCCTGGTGAAGGGAGCAAGTGTACCCTGGTCCACTCATCAACTTAACTAATGTGTCCTGAGCCCTATTTCTAGCCAAGCACTGTGGATTGATCCTTGGGAGACAGTGGTGACTTTAGGAGGATCTGCACCCACGAAGCTCAGAGTCTGTTCCATTAAGGAAAGCACTTCAGTAGAAATTCCTCTAGGACAGGAGTTGGCAAACTTCTTCTATAAAGAGCTAGATAGTATATAGTTTCTGCTTTGTGAGCTGTACAGGGCTGCTCACAGCTTCTCAACTCTACCCTTGCAGTGTGAAAGCAGCCTAGACTATCCAGGCAAATGCGCATGGCTGTGTTCCAATAAATCTTTCTTCATAAAAGCAGGGCCCCTCAGACTTGGCCTAAGGATGGTAGTTTACTGACCCCGCTCTCAGAAGGATGAAACATGTTGTGTGTTCTTATCGACAGAAAAGACCCATCTTCACATTAAAACATAAAATAATAGCAACTACTCATAGGAACATAGCCAGTTGGGTCTGGACGAAGGACAAAGTGAAGGATTAACAAGCAACTATGATGCAGCCTTCCTCGATAATTAGAGCATCCACGTTTGCTTTCTCCTCAATAGCTTATATAATTAAGCTAGAGAAAATAGAACAATTTTAGGTTGGTTTTTGTACCCCCTAATTATCCACATGAGATTGGATGAATAGATCTGGCCAAACTCTGTGAATTCATAAAGTGAATGTCTTAGCTATACCTGTAACTAGGTCAAGTATTTCTGGTCATTAAAAGGCATCATTTATACTCACAATAGACATTTTATTGCCTTTCTAGAATAAACATTTATTTTTTATTCCTTTAAAATAGGGTTTAAAACAAAGACCTAGAAAGGGATATCTAAATTTTGCCGAAGTCGTTGAGCAATTTTGCCAGTTGGTATAACTATTGGAACTGACTACTTAAGATGCAGGGCCCTAGGCAAAATGAAAATACGGAGCCCTTTGTTCAAAGCTGATTAAGAATTTCAAGACAGCAATAGCAGAGCACTAAACCAAGTGCAGGGCCATTGTGAGTGTGGGGCTCTTGTGACTGCCCAGGTCACGTGCGCTTGAAGTCAGCCCTGCTGTATTAGCCTGCTAGGGCTGCCATAGCAAGGTACCACAGACTAGAAGGCTTAAGCAACAGAAATTTATTTCTCACAGTTCCGGAGAATAGAAGTCCAAGATCAAGGTGTTGGCAGGGTTCCTTTCTCCTGAGGCCTCTCTCCTTGGCTTGCAGACGGCCACCTTCTCACTGTGTCCTCACATGGCCTTCTCTCTGTGTGCTCACATCCCTGGCGTCTCCCTCTCTTCTTATAAGGACACCAGTCCTATTGGATTAGGTCCCTACCTTCATGGCCTCATTTAAGCTTAAAGAGTTCCTTAAAGGCCCTGTCTCCAAATACAGTCACATTTGGGGTTAGGGATTCAGTATACAGGTTTTGAGGGGGTACAGTTCAGTCCATAACTACCCTCCTGCAAGGCCTTATCACTGGCTTATACATCAAAGCTGCCATTGGTAAACAGCAGAGTAAACGTGTGTAGGACCACAAGCCGAAGTAAGTTTGCTTTCTAAGCCCCATGTCTACGCCAGATGAGTTGAACAGCAGTATAAGGTAGTAGGTCCCAGATGATCAGTCTACACTGCCAGTGAGAGGACAGTCTAGATGATGTGCTCAAAGAAGGCACAGACAAAATGGATGAGAAGTGAGTGGGTCCTTGATACAGGATTTGGATAAGCTAAAAGGCCCAGGGGACCAGGCATCAGCTAGGAAGATGGCATGAATGAAAAACAGCTAATAATAACGGTGAATATGCATTGGGTGTTTATTAAGTGGCAAACACTGTTCTAAGAGCTGTAATATGTTTCATTTAATCCTAATAAAAACCCTACAAGGAGTAAGTACGTTTATTAAAGGAGATGGGGCTTATGTGGACTAAACGAGGAAGGATGGAAAGGGCCTGGCCCATGGCAGGTGTGCAATCAGTGGTGACCACTGGGCCTGTTATTACATGGCTAGCCTGTGGGACAGGAATCATGTCCTGCCTTGAATTACGTGCTGCCTTGCTGGCCTCATGCTGGGCGTACAATGTATTTTCCTTTTCCTCCCACAGCTGCGATTCTGATTGCAAGGTCATCGCCTCCCTGGTTCATAGTAGACAGACCTTTTCTATTTTTCATCCGACATAATCCTACAGGTAAGTGATTCTCCTCCTCCGTTTTTCGCTAGCTGTTAGTTAACTCCAGCAGCGCTGCTTTTAATCCTTGTCCCGTGTGTCAGCAAGTGCCAGCACTTTCAGTAATGTACCCACGCCCCTCGCAGAGAGAGGAAAGTCAGGCTGTTTTTACAGAGCGTGATGGCATTTTTCAAACACAGGATTTTAGGTTTGGTTTGGTTTTGTTAACATCTCGAGAGCTCTACAACCCTTTGGGGCATTTTGACGTCTACTGATTGTTTTTATAAATGCAGTAGGTAAATTTTGCAGGAAGCTACCTGTCTTCAACCTTTGTAAGGGCACCCTGCGGTTATGACCTGAGAATTGTTCATTCAGTCTAAGCTCCATGAGTCATGGGTTCAAAATTGGCTGTCCTTTAGCTTCACCTTTAAAATTAGAATAACAATAATTCCTACCTCTTAATACAGTTATGAAGAATAATTAAGACTGTCTTTGTGGAGACGTTGTCGTCATGTTGGTACAGAGTAGAAACTAACATAGTCTAGCGTTTACTCTGTTTTTAATCAATAACATAAGCTAGTTCCTTATCCTTTTATCTCATTGCATCTTCATTGTTATAATTAGTGTGCTCCCGAGCCAAACAGTCCAATATGGGAGCCTCTAGCCACATGTGGATACTTAGCTTTTTAACTTTAATTAATTAAAATGAAATGTAATTAAAAATTCAGTGTCTTAATCACACTAGCCACATTTCAAGGGCTCAGTAGGCACATGTGACCAATGGCTACCATATTGGACGATGAAGATACACACATTCCATTCCCATCACTGCAGAAAGTTCTATTGGACAGCACTGCTTAAGAGCAGTGGGTTAAACACAGCCCAGAAACCTCCCCTTAAATATACCTTCCATCTTATTTTAAGGATTGTTTTTTATAGAGTTATGTGTTGTTTCCTTTTAATTCTCTAGGTGCTGTTTTATTCATGGGGCAGATAAACAAACCCTGAAGAGTATACAAAAGGAACCATGCAAAGCAAAGACTACTTTGCTATGAAGAAAAGACTCCTTTCCTACATCTTTCATAGTTCTGTTAAATATTTTTGTACATTACTTTCTTTTTAAAAACTAGTTCTTAGGAACAGAGACTCAGTGATGCAGTGTTTCTGTTCTGGGAGGCGTTAAGGGAAAAAAGGGCAAGATGGCTGGAACACTGTACTGAGAAATGAACAGAAGGCTTCAAAATGTCTAAAAGATTCTTTAAACTACTGAGTGGTTACCTAGGTCAACAACCCTCTTGAGTATTTACTGTCCAGTTCAGGATCTTTGTTTTGTTTTGTTTATATGTGTGGCTTTTCAGAAAAAAAATTAATCAGTGTGATGGGAGGGAAAAAAGGACATTTTATGGTAGCTCTTACGGTTATATGAAAAAATATTATTGGCCTTTTAAATTTTTTTTTTTTTGTCTCATCCAAAGTCTTGATAGTAAGAATTACTTTGGGGATAGAAATAGCGAAATCTCTAGGCTCTTTGTGTGTTTTTGTTGTTGTTGTTGTTTTATATAATGCATGTATTCACTAAAATAAAGTTTAAAAAACTAATGTCTTGCTAGACAAGGTTTGCTGTTGTGCAGTGTGCCTGTCGCTACTGTTCTGTACTCTTTGGATTTGCATTTTTGTATTTTGTACAAAGTAAAAATAAAGTGTTATGAGTAGTAGAAGAAAAAAAAAAGCCATTTCTCTGCTATTTGAAAATACAACAAAAGAAATAGCCTTTTAAAAATACCTCAGCCTCTTCTAGTAAACCTTTGCACTTAGGCAAACAGCAAGAAACCCCTGGCCTTCCCTTCCCTTCCCTCTAAACCTAGCAATCAGACACTGTTCCCTGCCCCAGCACTCGCCAGTTTGCAGATCACTCCGGAGAGCCACTGTCACAGTAAATCCATCTCTGATGTCAGCTGCGGTTCCTCAGGTGAGGGCTGAGGCTTCTCAGCAAAGGTAGGGATTTTGTAGCAAGAGTAGAAAGAAGTTACCTAGTGAACAGTGACTTTCTTTTTTTTTTTTTTTTTTTTGCGGTACACAGGCCTCTCACTGTTGTGGCCTCTCCAGTTGCGGAGCACAGGCTCCGGAGGCGCAGGCCCAGCGGCCACGGCTAACGGGCCCAGCCGCTCTGCGGCACATGGGATCCTCCCGGACCGGGGCACGAACCCGTGTCCCCTGGATCGGCAGGCGGACCCTCAACCACCGCGCCACCAGGGAAGCCCTGACTGTTTCATTTTTGATGATAGGCCGGAGCTTTTGTTTTTTGAAATGACAAGCTTTTGGTCTTTTGTGTTTTTGGAGAACTCATCACAATTCTAATGTTACCATTTTTTATTTGCCTGTTTTTTTTGTTGTTGTTGTTGTTACTAATTTCCTAAAGATTTGGGAAGTCTTATCTAAATCAGAATGCTTTTAAAAATATTTCTTATCAAAACTTTGAACTTTTTTTTTTAACCTTCGAGCTCTGTTCGTCTCTCTTTATACATTTAAACCTCACGTTCAGCTCTCCACCAGTTTGCCATTTGTAATTTTTATTCGTCAAGTGGACTGAGTTTTGCTGTTTGCAACTATTTAAGTGTGGATACCTTGGTTAACCAAGAGAGAATGGAGAAAGGGGGCAATTGTTTTCCTGATTTAAGAGTAAATGCCAAAAATTATTTTGAAGGGTTACCTGAGGCCACTTGCATTCTAGCAAACATGCTAGTATAGTTATTAATGCCTCTAAAGTAGTTTTACTGGTTTTCCAGTTTTCTGATCCCATTCAGTTATATTATTTTGAACAGTTTAAAAAAGGCATAGTGTTAGCAGTAATTTGAGAATTATACACTTCATTCATTCATTCGTTTATATACCTATTGGGGTACCAAGTACCAGGCGGTACAAAGACAAATATGTCCTTTCCTTAAGTGACTTGATTTTGGAAGGGAAAGAGAGAATCCTAGCCCAGCAAAATATCTAACTATTGCAAGTGTATTTACAAGATGTGGAAGTAGGATCAAGTGGTCATTAGTCCAGGAGAGAGGATATAAAAGTGGCTGCAGGGTCAAGACTAGATCCCTGGGCTCTTGACTCCAGCACTGCTCATTCCAGAAAGGACCGGAAGAGTTTGCCTTTCAATATAGTGGCCCTGTTACATGATACAGGTAGTCTGCTCCCCAGTAAAATAATTAGTCAAATTTTACTGGCCACATTAAATTTTGAAGTATCTGGTCCCATTTCTGAATGCCTCTTCAATAGATTATAGCATTTCAAATTTATGATATACAAAACTTGGAAACATCTCATGGAAAATTCATAATACGAAGGTTCTCAGACTATATATATATATATATATATATATATATATATATCTCCTATTTTTCATTTGATCCTCCCAACCTACTCATCTTTAGCCTTTCCTCATGTTGACCTAAAACGCATAGAATGCCAGGTGTTTCTCCAGCAAAGATGGGTTTATTTGGGATCAGCAGAGAATTACAATTCGGGGTCTGCAACTTTGGGGAGCCTCGTACAGTCCACCCCCATGGCAAGAGAAGGAAGTGCTTTTATAGAGGAGAAAAGAAAGTTGAGCGGCTGTGATAAACAAAGGGTTCATGGCTTCCCATTGGCTGAGTCCTTGCGGGGAAAGAAGAGGAGTCTGTCTTTTCCCTGTTGGACTCAACTGTCTTCACAGGGCGTGAGAGCGCCCCCTTCTGGTCTCCAGCCTCTATTGCAGTTTCTGTTTATTAACTTTTTACAGTTATCAGTCAACACCCAGATTCTGACCCTGGCTGACTCTTAGACCCTGTTTATAATCTCTGGACTTGGGGAAAAATTTCCTCTCAAATTATTATTTTTCTAAAATTCAACTTTTATCTTTAGATATACTTAGTGGGTCTGTCGGCCTTGTCTTAAAAATGATAAAGTTTATGAAAACTCCTTTACTTGAGGGAAACGAATAAATTTAAAATATGGAGACTGCCACAAAAATGACATACCTGGGGTAAAAGATCATGTTTGCTGTGCTGCTGCGATTTATAATAAGAAATATATATTTGGTCTTCATCCTCATTTCTGGCACAGAACTCCCAAAACCTTTGGAAGTTCTTAAGTGAGGAACACAAAAAAGGGGTCTTTTGTTATGTTAATAAGGTAACTTTTCCTGCTCCCAAGGATGGGGGTTGGTCGCCAGGAGACCCAACCGCGTGATTGGAGGGGGTTGGAACTTTTAGTCCCACCCCCATGACCTCCTGGGACAGGGGGAGGGGCTAGGGGTTCACACCGACGGCCAAAGATCTAATCAGTCGTATTTATGAAATGAAGCCTCTGAGAAAATCCAAAATGACGATTTGCAGAGCTTCTGGGTTGGTGAACTGAACACATGGAGATACAGGGAAAGCGGCATGCTCATTGAGAGCTCCTTGACCTTGCCCTTCCCCCCAGACCTTGCCCTATTTGTCTCTTCCATTTGGCTGTTCCTGAGTTATGTCCTTTTGTAAGAAACCAGTAATCTAGTAAATAAGATGTTCCTCTGCATTGTATGAGCTGCTCTAGCCAACTCATCGAACCCAAGGAGGGGGTCATGGAAACCTTTGATTTATAGCCAGTGGGTCAGAAGCCCAGGTAACCACCTGGGCTTGCAATTGGCATCCAAGGTGGGAGACAGTCCTACTGGCCTGAGCCCTTAACCTATGGAATCTGATGATACCTTCTCCGGGTAGATAGTGTTGGAATTGAGTTGAATTGTAGGACACCCAGCTGGTGTAGGGAAAACCCACACACACTGGAATTGGGTGTCAGAATCTTTATTTGCTATGCAGATATTTAAGCAAACAATCTACACGTGGATTAGATGTCATACTGAGTTCGGACAGGAGACAGACTGCAATTTCCCTAAAGTAACAAAATGGTAGACTTCTGGAAAAGCTGAAGACAACGGCCAGTAAACTCACTCCTCTGACACTTAATGAGATGGGGATTTTCAATTCTTTTTTTAAAATTTATTTTTATTTATTTACTTATTTGGGCTGCACCAGGTCTTAGTTGTGGCACACAGGCTTCTTAAGTTGCAGCATGCGAACTTTTAGTTGTGGCATGCATTCGGGATCTAGCTTCCCGACCAGAGATCGAACCCGGGCCCCCTGCATCGGGAGTGCAGAGTCTTACCCACTGGACCACCAGGGAAGTGCTGGGACTTTCAATTCTGCCTGAGACACAATGAAAACAAAGAGCAGGCACTGACCCAAATAAGTTGAAAGTGCTATGTCTTGCTGGCCTTCGAGTCTTTGTTCTAAAAAGGAAATGATGACAGGTGACCTGGAAAAAATGCCAATCATAAGAGAACTTTACAGAAAGACACAAGGGAGTGGCTTTTGTACCCGCAGCTCTTTGTTTTCCTGAAAATAAAAAACTGAAGGACACATGTGCTCCACATTAAGGGACTTAAGAAACTGAAGGAGGAAGGGCAGGGATTTGCTCAGAGCCGGCAGAGTGAATGTGGTCGGCGGTGACTGCCCGGTAGAGGTGAGGTTTGGGTGAGCTGCTGGACGACCTCTATGTCCTTGACCTCCCGTGAATGCTGAAAGACACTGTGTCCAACCAAGAGTCCACTTCGGGTGGCCAAAGAGTGGACAACACCACTGGCTCCAAAGCCCTGTTTCTTTCAAGATTCCCCAAACTGCCCCTTTGACCCTCTTCCAAACCTTGAAGAAAAAAGGATGCAGATGTTGTGATTTAAAGGAAAAATTTGCTAAATGAGAAACCACTGCTCTACATAATATCAGGTATGTTGTTTGCAGATTAAATTGTTGTATATGAGGCAGTAAAATGGAAATGAGTTTTTTAATCCCTTAATGTTATACCTCCTTCGTCTGCAGTTTAAAATCCCAGCTACCAAAGGTAAAGGGAAGGGTGGCAGACTCTTGTGCTTGTCCTTTCTAGACAAAAAACAATCCCAGGACCAAAACCTGAGTCCTAGTGGCAGGTTGTCTGGGGCCTAACTAATGGTCACCATTGCCAAGTTCATCTGTGGATGGTCAGCTAATTTTTGACTGGATGTGTCTTGTTAACTGTAACGTCTGCTGGTAAGTATCTCCTGGCCCTTGCTGACATGTTTTCTTGCTGTGGAGGCGCTGATATCAATAATTTATGTAGAGGAAGTGTTATCAGAAAGTCAGATAAACCCTTCCTCCTCTGACTAGAAATGTCCTTCTCTAGCTGACAATGACATTACTCATCTCTCCTGCAAAACTCATTAAAACAAACTCACTAGTTCACTGTGCAATTTTAATGTACGACAGATATGGTAAAACGGTGTTCTGTGGATCATCAAATTAATGGGGTTCTTCCTCAGTTGAAGGGGGAATAAGCTAATGTATTTAATTTTCTCAATCATTTTTCTCTCAGAAAATTTTCTTAAAACCCTTAGTCTTCTGGTATCGGTGAGCACTAACAGGCAGCCGGATCATTGAACAGGAGCAAATGAGCGTTGAGTGGAAAGCACAGACACTACTGATGCCGAGACAGCTTTCTTTTTTCAGGAGCGTGTGTGCTTGTGATTATTTTTGACTGCATGAATTTTCTCCTGGAAAAATTGTTCTCTGTTTGCAAGATGCGATTCAATCTAGCCATCAGTCTTGGTATCCTACAGAGAGAACTGTGGCTTTCAAGTGCTCTGATAGTCAACCAAAGTTGCGAA